ACACATGTACACACCGCCCACTTAAGGATGAAGCCTGTCAAACCCAGAGGCTGTCGGGCCTGGAACGTTCGCTTCTTCGTGAGCCTCCAGCGCTTCGCAAAACTGCTATTCTACATACATACCGGTTTAGGGTTTAGGGTTTAAAAACCCTGGGGCTCCAAATAGCCCAAAGTAGGTGTTATTCATAGACTTTAGGCCCCAAAGTAGGTACTATTTGTATACTTGGAGCCCCGGAAAAATAGTCTGGGAGTTGGCCTGTTAGACTTTAAGTTTAAAGTTTAAGGCTCACTCAGCATCTTGCTTTTTCACCTTCTCGAGGGAACTGAACGTTCAAAGTTGGGCCGGCATAGGGATTACACCGCTCCACTGCAAGAGTTCACAAAGTTACCTTATGAAGTCTGTAAAGCTATACCCCTAAGCTCGAATTCCCCAAACCCTTAACCCCAAACTAAGTCGGACAGACGTCTCACGACAGGTCCTGCAAGTCGGCCATCAGACCGGGCGTCTTGGATTTATGAGGCATTGCAGGTCCGATTCTAGCGTTGATGATTAGGGGTTCCTATACGGGAGTTTCCGATAATTGGGGGTACCTTATATTGGGGTCCTTGTAACAAGGATCCTACTATTTAGGGTACCGTATTAGGGTCCCTTATTTTCGGAAACCCCCATACGGGTTCTATAAGGTGCTCGGCCCTGGGGTGCAGGGTGTAGTCGGCTCAAACTCTGAGTTCGAAACAGCCACAATTCCTACTTAGTTGTGGGGGTTTTAAAGCTTTTGAATATATGGGGGGTTTCCGAAAATAGAGGTACCCTATTTTGGGGTCCTTATAATCAGGATCCTATTTAGGGTACTATAGTCCCCTATTTTCGGAAACTCCCATATTAGTAAATAAGATCCTCTTGAGCTCAATAAGGTAAACTTGTAAAATGGCCCAAAGCCCTACCTAGATTCAGCTTCTCAGCACTGAGAGCCGTCAAAGCAACAGTTTATGTGTTGCTGAAACACATTGTGAAGTTTTTGCATCCAGCCTGCAAAGCCTCTGCTGGGAACTAACTCAGCGCCTAGAGCAAACCTTCGAGTCTGTCTGCCGGTTTAGAGACTAAATCCGTTAACTATTCAATCCTTAAACCATTCACCCTAACCCCCAAAACAATAAACCTCTAAACCCTGAACCCTAAACCCTCCCGCCCCCCGCACCACTCATCGTGCGCCTCCGCCCAAGCTCGACGAGGCAGCGCCAGGCCATGATCTTCCGGGTTTAGGGCTTTAACGGGGTTTAAGTGTTTTGGGGGGTTTAGGGTTTAAGGTTTAAGGGCTTAGGGGTTTAAAGGTTTAGGGATCACTGTCCTTCAAGATGTAGGGTTTGGACTCCCACTGGATCCTCAATCAATACGAGAATGGTGAAAGTAAGAAAGGAACTGCGATGGAGACTATACCTAGGCCACCCAACTACACTCTAATACATACACCCCAAATACTGATTATTAGTAGACCACCCAACTACAGTCTAATATACCCCAAATACCCATTATTCGGGACCATAGCGGCTCTAGGTAGGGCTTGGCCTCGACTTGGTCCAGGCTTGAGTGTAACTCGGGCTCCGTCACTTCAATTTGGGAAACGTACGGCTGATGATATAAATCCTGCATTACCCATAATAAGGAACAGATACCATTATTCCCGTAGTTTCGGGTTCCTTAAGGTAATGCAGGATTTATATCATCAACAGTATGTTGGTGGTTATAGGTCTTCGTTGTAAGGGATCTACTTCAGCAAGGCGTATTCTTCAAAGGATGAAACCTTCTAGAACTCTTCTTGGAATCCCTATAAGACATAAGGACACTGAAGAAACCCTAAGCCCCAAAAAAACCTAACCGAACCACAAAACCAACAAACTCCGAAACATTGTGAGCAGGCCTCATCCTCCTAAAGCCCTTAAGCCGTACACCATGGCTTCTATCAGAACCTCACTGGCCCTAAACCCAAGGAAATACAAGTTGAAACTTTCAGAATCGACTACCTTATAAGAACCCCAAAAGTTGAAAAGTTGAGTTTACAGCCAATAAGGAACTCTTCTAAGGGGAAACCGCCAGCCGGCACAAAGCTCTCTCGGCCTCATCAGCTTTCTCCGCCTCCTTGAGGTCCAAGCCCAGGCCCCGCCGGAGCCCTCGGCAGGCCCAGCCGTGGTGCTACGGCTTAAAGGGAACTCCAGAAAGTTGGAATATGGTTTCAGGGTAGGATACCTTATAATTACCATAAAGGGTTTAGGATAATCATATTCCAACTTTCTGGCTTCTACTGTAGGGCTTCAGGCTTAATGGCTATCGGAGTTGCTTCAAAGATTCCTTTCAGATATGCTGAGGATGAGCAGATAGTTCAGGTGTTAGAGTTTACGGTTTGGGGTTGTGGTGCAGAATGGGAATTTCCGGTGTAGGGTTTCATTTTAGGTTTTGGGGCTCCCGGTATCACTTGAAGAGTTTAGGGTTTACAGTTTTGATCAGACATGCGAAAGTCCTTCTATTACAAGTCTGAGACCACATACAAGTGAATAGGGTCTATAGGGTTTAAGTTAGGTACTATTAGGTACTGCCCCCATACAGTAATAGTCTATAATGGGGCTCTATTAAGGTCCTAATATATCTATATTTGGAAACTGATTCAACTATTACTAAGTCGGGGCCGTTCCCAAGGTTTCAGCACTCACAACTAGGCAGGTTTCAGCACTCACACTCGGACGAACCACAGCGAGGATCCCAGTACCACCGAAAGCACATTGGTTCCTCCCAAACTAGGCAGGTTTAGGGTTTAGGGTTTAGGGGACCCCTTAGTCGTACCCGGATACAGCCTTGACTAGAATTGCCCTCTACCCGACAACTCTGAAGCCCGAGATGCTACTGTAGGGCCTTAATACTTAGAACAGGCTTTTGGGGCCCACTATACCATAAGTTACAGTAGAAGCCAGAAAGTTGGAATATGATTATCCTAAACCCTTTATGGTAAATTATAAGGTATCCTACCCTGAAACCATATTCCAACTTTCTGGAGTTCCCTTTAAAATGAGGAACCCCCCCAAATAGTATTGGCAACTATTGAGTCCCCTATACTGAACCCTTTTAAATGGCCCAGTAGGCCTTATCGACCCTTTTAAGCTAGGATACCCAGTAACCTAAGAATAATAAGGCCTCTCTTTTTGGTATTGGGTAACTTTATAAGGAACCTAGGACTACAAAAAGGGAATAAGGGTACTACTGGGCATCCTAGTAAAGGAAGGGACCCTCTCGGGGAGCTGCAAGGGCTTCGTGCGGCCGATCTGCGTTCTGCTGCGGAGATGCCCTCTGCATTCCGCAGGACCGTCAGGAAGATGTGGCGGCTCACCTGCCATACTACCCACATACCCTCCCCATAATCCCTAAGCCCCCCCCCAACTACCTTCTGACATATACCCCAAATACCCACTATAAGGGACCATGAGGGCTCTATTAAAGGAGGGGATAGGGGGTCCTGGTAAACCCCAAACCCTATTCAAAGGGGAAAAGGAGGGACCCTTAATGGGGACCCCTACCCTATAATGGGGCTATATCATGGGTATATAATAGCTTTCTTAAGGGTATATACCTATAGGGGTCCTTATTAAGGGTCCCTCCTTTTACCCTTGGACCTATGTACGCCCAACCCACAAGACCAAAAGGGTTCCAGAACAAGCGTCTATGCGGGGACTCCTAGAAGGCTCGGCAAAGGCAAGGGTTTCTGGTTTAAGGGTTTATGGGTTTAGGATTAGGGGTTTAGGGGGTTTAGGGTTTAGGGTTAAGGGGTCTCGGGTTTTAGGGGTTTAAAGGTTTTTTAGGATTCAAAGGGCTTTGGATTTGGACTTTGGAGTGGGGGCTGCGCCGTGGGCTTATGGCATCTCAGGGCCGAGGATCTAGCCAATAGCTCTCGGGTTGGGATTTAGGGGTAAGCCGGACTAAAGCCTTCTCAGCAGCTGTCCGGGCTTCGAGGCACCCCGCTGCTTCGATCCTGTAGCCTTGAAAGATGTCCAGCGCACGAGCAAAGACCACACCAAGACCCTAAATGGTAAGCTATGGACCCAGTAGGAGATTGGTCCTGCTCTGTAGGGTTGAACCTGAACACAATGCCAAAAAAACTCAAAATCGGCCTTGGCTCGGCTCTTGGGCATGTGGCGCAGGAACTGTGCAAAGAACCGCTTGGCCTGGCAAAGCACAAAGGCCAAAGAGCGCAGTAGCCGGAATACCCGGCATTTAAGCAGATCCTTGCCGCTATAGAGGGATGAGTCTGAACACTCGGATTCAAGCTATACCGATATATTCTGCAATTTGGGGATATTTCCCTCTGGGCACTCGGCGGGTTGTTCTCCTTGTTCTTGCATGGCAGTTCTTGAAGTTAGGTTTACAGGCTTCAAGGGCTTACTTGGGAAGGGCTTGGCCCGTCGTTTAAGTATTGTCTGATTGTAGCTCTGTGTACTGGTCCTGCGAATCGGGTTTACGTCGGACTTCATATATAAGTCAACGAGGGACTCAAAACATGTGGTTGTCCTGCCCTTCGACTGTAGCATGACAAGCGCGCTGGTACTGCTGCCCTTGTTTTCTGTTCTCCCTTTGCCCTGAGCAAGATCTCTCAACAGTGTTTGTATTCGTACTACGGAAAGAAACCGTCTGCACAGAACAACAACATCGACGACTGCCACACCACCACCCTCACCGGTTATAAGCTTTCTTTCCGCAGCCTCTGTTCCTTTGTATTGCTTTCGGAATCCTATTTATCTTTGTTTATTTCTTTCCCATGCTCATTCATATTGTTTTACCGTTGTCAACCCCATGTCAGCTCAACCTGTACATTTTACATTGCCATGTGTTTTCCTATGTTGTTTCCTACTGGCTTCGGTATTGTTTTTTGCAAAATATATTTCTACACGATCCCAACACTCAGCTCGTAACGGCACAACAACACCAGTACTGCTACAAAACCATAGATCCAATACTAATTACTTGTAATTCTCATCACCAGCCGCCACAGCCTCTGCTGGGGTGGCACCCACAGAGCTAAGCATGTCGATGAAGGAGATGATATCCAAATACCTCAAAGGGCCATTGGTTTGGGCTTGATTTTGCATGTGTTTTTTTTGGTATTGTTGTTGTGTATCTTTTTGTGCCAAGATTGTCGACGGCACGTGAGACGGTTTTAGAGGGATTAGTCACGGGCTAGGGCCGGTTGGGCTTCTCTGTTTGTTCTCGGGTGCGGGGTTTCGGTGGACGGTTTACGTTTGAAACGGCTGCGGTAGCAGCCGTAGATCATCCCTTAGATGCCGGCTTTACTAACCCATAATTACTCACGAAATGCCGTAGCACTGACGCTGATTTACCGAGGTGCGAATGAACATTGGCCAACTGCGCGGATGCCAACATTGTAAGGGGGCAAATACCAACAGCAAAGCACAAGGGTTGCAGCGCTGAGGAGCAACACTGTGAAAGCCAAGGTCATGATACGACGGAGCATCAAACCGGACTTGCTAAGCACAGCTCATTCGAAAATAAAAGTAATACAAAGGTAAAAACTAAGACGCACATAGTGGCTTACCACGCACTCTAGTAGGAGATGGTAGTGGTGATGTAGAGACATGGTCATATGGAACTAGAGTCAATAATGGCAAGCATAGAATTGTGAGAAATATCAAACTATTTACAACGAACAACTGGCTCAACGGAACAACAAGATTTCATAAACATCTCTGGCACAAAACAATGCCATAATCATATGCAGTACACAATCACAAACATAGTCATAAGACTGCTCAACATCTGCCAAAGCCTTTATCCCGATGAGCCCTATAAGCCCAAACACCCCAAGCCCCAACCCATGGAATCCTAGAGTCCACCTAGAGTCCAAACGCCTCCTTAGGAACTCATGTGTAAACCCTGTTTAGGAACCCTTTTTCAAACCCTTCTAGACGCCCTTGTGGAATCTTTATAGAGACCGGCATAAGAACCGCTTTTTAGCAACCATTACAGTAGAACTCGTGTCGAACCCTTGCAGAAATCCTGATAAGAACATGTTTTTAAGGGCCGCGGAAGTCCATGCCCTAAACCGAAACCCTAGACCCTAAACCACTGGAGGAAGCCTCAGCCAACACCCCCTTAAATCTAAAACCCCAAACCCCTAAACTCTAAAGGCTTAACTTTTTACAAGCCCTGAACCCCTGAACCCTAAACCCGAACACTTAAAGCCCAAAGGCTCCATGTACCCATATAATAGATACTTAGGCCTTAAAGCACCTATATAGGGACCCCTCTAAGGCTTAAGTATCTACAATAAAGGTACATGGAGCCTTTGGGAAGCCAACCACCCCCCTCTTGGGAGCGCAAGCGGCCGAATCTCCGCTTCGTCGAAGGCCTCCGCCACGGAGCCATAGCGGAGCTCTAACCGCGAGCCTTTGGGAGTTTCGGCGCTCACACTCCGGGGTTTAAGGTTTACAGTAGAAGGCAAAAAGTTGGAAACCCCATAGCCTCAGTCCTTAAGAGTAGCGTATAGGCAATCCCAGCACTATTTGGGCCTTAATCCGGTTTCCAACTTTATGGGGTTTACTAAAGGGGTGTAGGAGTTTAGGGTTTAGGGGTTGAGGGTTTTGGGGTTTTTGTCTTGCGACAAGGTTGTGTGTTTCTCTCCCCGGTTGCCGTCCGAACCACCCAAACCTAATCTTTTTCGGGTTTAGGCCCAGAGGTTTCATCCTTCCAGACAAAATCCACAGGGCAGGGCGCGGGGCAGGGGGGCAAGGGGGCAGGGGGCCCACAAACAATGGGTACGGGTAGGACATGGGCGGGCTGGCGTACTGGTTGGCCTTTCGGGTTGCGAGGGGCTTAAGCAGTACGTCGGCGACCTATGCCTTGAGTTTAGGGTCTCGGTTTAAGCTGTAGGTTTAGGGTTCAGGGTGTCGGTTTAGGGTTTAGGTTTTCGGTTCAGGGTTACCATAAGGGTCACTATAAGAGTTACATAATAATTGAATTGCGGGTGGGGGGGAAGGTAGGGTTTAGGGCTTCTGTTTGGGTTCGGAGTTTCGCTTTGGGGTTTCCGAACGGTTTAGGCTCGGGAATGCATCAGGTCATAAGGGCGAGCCTCACACGAATACCAGCATAGGGTTCAGCGTTTAGGCAGGATGGTCATCGAGCAAATGGTTCATACCGACTGAAAAACATCGAAATTTAGCTCCGCGGTTTAGGTGGTAGCATCATTATTCGCACCATCAGTTTCCATGCTACCAGAAATTTTGAATAACCTTGCACAAGACAGGTAGGTTCCGTACTTATCGGCTCAGGTGTCCCGTGCAACGTGCCGCAGATCTCTTTGGAATTGCGACTTAGCATGCCCGATAGGCTACATCGGACTAAAAGACTGTCATGGGGCAAAAGCAAAGAGGTGCCTGGATCTCGACTTAACCTGTCTGTTGAACTACACCCTCGTCCTACAACCCTAAACCCCAGACAAAAATTGCAACCTGAACCAGAGAGTCCTAAACCCCGAAGCCTTGAACACTGATACCCTAAACCCTAAAACCTAAAGCCCTCTAACCCCAAACACTAAAACCTTGAACATGAAAATCCTATAGGCCCCAAACCCCAAAACTAGAGACCCCAAGCGAAAACCTTGAAACGTTGAAACCTTCAGCACTAAATCTAACAGCCTAAGGCCCGAAACTCAACACCATAAACCCCTAAACAATGAACCCTACACCCTGTAGATCCCTTATAGGAACCCTTAAAGGAGCCCTAAACCCCTAAACCCTCGCCCAGGCACGTAGCGCTCGGAGGCTCTTGATCGGCGTTGCAAAAGCCATGGCACGCACGAAGTCGTGCTTGTACCTTGGGTTTTATGGCCTATAGGGTTTGAGGGTTTATGGGTTGACGGGCTTGCGCTATCTTACCCAAAGGCTCCATGTACCTTTACAGTAGATACTTAAGCCTACAAGGGGTCCCTATATAGGCACTTTAAGGCCTAAGTAGCTACTTTCTGGGCACATGGAGCCTTTGGATTAAGGCGCCGGGTCTAGGTCTAGGACTTTTGGCCGAGGGTTTGGTCTGGGGTGAAGGCTTCTAAGATACACTCTTGTCAGGGCCGTAGCTCCAAAGCCTTGAAACCCGACCCCCAAAACGTTCCGATGCTGCAGGAACTGTCGTTCTCCAGCTATTCATGCTCAACGCTATCGACATGCTGCAAGGAGCACGACCGTGCTAGAAGTCCGTGGGGCCTGATACCCTGACATTTTAACGTCTGTGGGCTTCATTGAAGACCTCTTGCTTTCAGGGATGCGGGTTGAATGCAATCAACTGCGCGGAATCTACCAGTACATCTCAAAATCCTCTCCAAAACCTGCTGAACCTAGTAATGCATCCACAGCCCACAGCTACAACTTTTAATTAGCCAAATATCAAGGGCAGCACCGCCCTAGACCCTCAAACTTAAACCGCCACACAAAAAAACGATCCGCTGCGTCTTCTACCGACTAAGCCGAGGAGCAGGATGCCACTGTCCTTGCAGCTGTCAAGACCTACTAATGTAGGAACCTGATTAAGAGACACTGGCCCTGTAACAGCCTGTAACCCCCAAATACCCCCAATATACTAGGATGCATACAATAGGATAAAGGCCCAAGGTGTCTTAATCAGGTTCATACATTCAAAGTATGATGAGATTTTGCCTTCTCTTTTTCAAAACCCTGGTCCTGGCAACTATCCAGTGGGGCAACTATATCCGTGTCAACGTTTCTGTTCGCATGCACGTATCAGTATGGCCAGTTTGTTCATGCCTACGCTCACCGGCTGCTATGCACAATCAAGCACACATCCATCTGTACATTGTGCAACCTCATGTACACGGTACATACATGACCAACGACAGGGCAGCTGCAGCAATGTCTCTGTATGTCCCCGGTGTTTCTAAAGGTGGGATCCTTCGGTTCCAAAATAGCCATGGGGTAGGTTCCCATCGGGTTGATATCTCCCTGTAATGAAGTTGTCCCGTCCAGCCAACAAGCAACTTTCGCCCACTTGGGGATCTTCTTGGACCTGCCTGAACACGATATGAAGACAAGCGGCGCCTAATACATACAACTCCGCACCCCCGATCCTGAACACAGTCCGTATACCACACTTTTAGAACCTGTGTACAGTCCTTATCACGCACACAGCATCGTTATAGTAACCTTATGAAAGCCACAGATCACTCCTCATCAAAAACTTTAGGCTTGAAGCTTGATGCTTTCAGGTTCGCGACCTTAAGGTTTTGGGATTCAGGTTTGTTTAGCTCTTTGGGTTCATTGGTTCCAAGTTTAGGCTTTAAAGTGTAGGACTCGAGCTTAGAGATCAGCTCGAGTTTAGGGTTTGAAGCTCGGTGGAGGGGGGGTGTCTCGCTGCTTTTGGGCACAGGCGGGACATGGCCTGGAGGAGGCCGATTGAACGCACAAACTTGTTGAGCGGCGTAGCCTCTAAACCTAAACGCTGAAATCCAGCCTTTGCAAAAGGACGGCGAGATTCAAGTAAACTCTGATCTCAAAGCTCTTTCTTGAACCATAACCCGACGGTCCTCATCATCAGGCAGGCCAAGAAGACTGCAGGAAAGCTGCCAAACAGTACTGGCAAGATCCAAGTCCTGTGGAGCATTGTTTTTTTGGTTCACGCTTCACCATTCACCCTTTAAATAACCCAGCTTCTCAGGGACAACCTATCAAGAAGCCATAGTCATTGCAAAGATAGGTTAATATAGGGTCCATGCCAGGCCGCAGGCCTCCTGAGGTGTAAAACCCTAAACGGTTTATGGTTTAGGGTTTAACCCTGCAGTTCGGGGCTTTGGGGGTTGAGAGCTCACCTGTAGTCTCGATTGTAGCTCCTATTGGGGGTTATCTTATAGGATCCGAAATATGTGGGGGTTTCCAAAGATAGTACCCTAAATCGTAGGATCCTTATTATAAGGTCCCCGAAATAAGGCAAGCCTAACTTTCGGAAACTCCTTTGTAGTTAGTTAAACCAAAAAAGGAACTCAAACGGAGACCACAGGCATAGGGTGGAGGTCTCATGCGCTGCTTCGGCTTGCCGTTGTGTTTTAGCGTGAGTGTAGACTAGGACGAAGGGTAAAAAGCTCATGGGGTTTACGCTCTCGCAACTCGGACATGCCTGACGAGGGCTCTGGTAGCTCATGGGGTTTAGAAGTTTAGGGTTTAGGGCAGAAGAGGGCATCAAGAAGCCCGCCAACAAGCCGTGCTCCCAACTTCACGGTTTCGGGGCTGAAAAAGGTTCTGACAATGCCCTACCCCCCTTGCATCATCCCTTTTTTGGGGAGAGACTGTGAGCTTGCCCTTCTTATCCCTAAACCTTTTACATCCCAAATACACTCGTAAAATGACTCGCCTCAGAATCCAACCAGGGTTTCTACCCATGTATACTATAGAGCAGGGGTTTCTGTAGTAGGAATTACCATCTTGCTTTGGGTAAGCATCCCCCTAAACAATAAACCCTAACATATGGGTGGTTCTCTACATTAGGGTTCATGTTGGGCTCCTTTTATAAGGGTGCCGTACTTATATAATGGGGACCTAGACAGGATAACTACCCCAGACCCTAAACCCTTTAAACCCTAACATATAGGAATTTAGGACCCTTTGGGTTTGGCCGGTGTCTCTGCAGTTCGGGGTCACTGTTCGGGTAGCCCGGGGCTTATACTATGGGGCCTTCATACTTTGAACACGGCTTGGGGGGTCTATTTTAGTGTTCTGATGATGGTAAGTAAAGCCTAAACCCTAAACCCTAAGGGAGTTGCAACAACTCAGGCTTCTATATTGGAGCTCATGGTCTTTCCGCCGCAATCTCTCAACTCATGGATTCCTAGAGCTTTGTCGGGTCTTCGCTGTGATGCTTTGCGAAGTGGGTTCCTGAATTCCAAAATAATTACCACCAAAACATTCTGGAGCCTTACATGTTACAGTCATTCGGAGGGAGCGATGCCTTAGAGGTACTGAGCTTTGGCTTCAAAACTTCACGGTAATCCGGAACATTGCAAGCTTGGTGTCGAATCCGATCTGTCGGCAGAGTCTGCCTCAGCAGACACAGGAATTACAGGATGTTTTGCATGCAGGATGTCGGCTTCGGCGCTTAAGTTCTCTGGATTCGGGTTTAGAGCTTTGGCCTCGGGCTGCATTCAGCTGCACTCAGCTGTCTTCAAGGCAAAGGTTCGGGGTAGTTCATACCCATAGGCTTCATGGTAGTTCTTTTTTGGGATTACCTTACAGGATTCTATATGAACCACGAAAAGGAACTACTATGGAGCCTCTAGGTCCTAGGTACCTTTAGGGAGTTGCGCGGAATACTGCGAGCTGGTCATGAATGGGGCCTGCCGTTTTGGGCGTGGGTTGTAGGGTAAAGTGCAGAAAGAGAGGGATGGCACTTTGGAGCGGTTGAAGCCATGGAAACCCCGGGTAGCTCCGGACAGGCGATGCACGAGTTCCTGAATCCCGCTGCGGATGGCCCGGCTCACCACTACTTAAAGGATCATGGGACTTTGCAACTGGAGTTAAAAAACAAGATAACTAGACTTATAAGCACTTATAAGCCCACTTAAGGGTACTTATAACCTGACTTACTAAGTCCCATGATCCTCCAAGTACTCATTTTTATGATCCCCAGTTCTGCTCCTTCGGCTCACTCGAAACAAGAAGTCGGGTGAATTCTGCCCCGGCAAAACCGCAGTTTTACACCCATCCCAAAAGCCCTACTCCTGAAGCACCCAGACTCCTTCCCTTCCCACAGATTTGTGCTTCCAAACTCTGTGAAGCTGGACGTTCCCCAAAAACAACCCTAAACCCTAAACCCGTGTGACGAAAGCTTTGCGGCTCGCGCCTGTACCAATGCCTCACTGAATTTCAAAGCTGCGAGATACTACATCATACCGGTAGTCTCATACTTTACCCCTTTTTTAGGATACCTGGTTTTATGGTTAGGACCTGTTATATAGAACGTTAGGGTACCTTAACTTAGTTGCTGAGTTCATACGCCCCGAAAAGTGTACACAAGTGTAAAGTGTATCCACTCAGCTACTAAGTTAAAAAGGAGAAGGGTATGAGCCCCATCATACAATGCGACCTCCGAGTCGGTTCATACTTATTTGGGAGTTTCCGAAAACTGGGCGAGCCTTATTTTGGGTTTTGGGGTTCCTTTAAAAGGATCCTTTTAGGGTTCCTTAAAGGGATCTAGAAGGGTTCTATAGAAGGCTTTTAAGGGTTTAAGGGTTCCGAAAATTAGGGGTACCTCATTTTGGGGTCCTTATATTAAGGATCCAACTGTTTATAGGGTACTATATTGGGGGTCCCCTATTCTCGGAAACTCCCATTTGTGAAACAAGTACCCTGCTGCCACAGCCCAGGGTTTCTGTCTGGTTCTTCAGTAGGGAATCGGGGAATGGATTATGGAGACGATTATTGGGGGGTTATGTAAGGACTGCTATGGGGATCCATGCCCCCATTCCCTATTGTATAAGCACCAGGCAGGCTTAGGGTTTCCTCCTAGACTAGCCCTTTACTCGCCTGATTATGGACCAGGTGGCAGAAGAGGTCGAAGGACATGGGCTCCAAAGGATTGTCCACAGTTTGAGCGAAGGCCTGAAAGGCCTAAACCCTAAACCCTAAACCCTAAACTCCGTGGGGCTTCGAAGGGTGCAGGAGTTGAGGGTTTAGGGGCTCACTCTCGGACAATCCAGGAGAGGCATTTGGGGTTCGAGGTCTGTTGAGTGAGACTACCACTAAGTTACTAAGTTGAAGGTTAAGGGTTTAGGGCTTGCAGGGTTTAGGCTTGAGGGTTTAGGGCTTATAAGGTCTAGGGTTGAAAGTTTACTATGGGATCTTTGAGTGTGGAGGGTAATATTAACAGATTTCCTTACATGGGTTCTCTACCTCCCGCGGAGGGACCACATCGTGCTGAAGTGGAGACTCGGAGTCCGGAACAGGCATGAAGCGCACCGGTCACTCAGCATCGAGCAGCAGCAAGTAGCATCAGGTGCTGCAAGAAAGCCCTCCTGAACGATATGGGAGTTTCCGAAAATACGGGACCCTAATATAGTACCCTAAATAGTAGGATCCTTATTATAAGGACCCCTAAATAAGGTACCCCTAGTTTTCGGAAACTCCCATATCGCCGTCAGAAAAGCCCAGTCCACGAACCGTGTTTTCTGTGCGGCTCCAGCATTTTCGGCAAGGCACGCGACGTGTCACAGCTACCACGCTCACAGGCCAGGAGCTCTGCAACAGCTTCCCGGCCAGACACTGTCGCTTGCACTCGGTCTGCATCGAGGATGTGCGTACTCTAATCCTCCAAAATTCACCGCAGACATCCTGACACAGAAGTGATGTCTATCCCCGGCACCTTCCACGTCGAAGTACGCACGGAGTGGAGCTATGCGACATGCCCGACGTCACACGTTGTCTTGACTGGTGATGATAAGATGGATGAGTTTAGAATGTCGTTGAGGGTTGGGTCTTCACGGTTCATGAGCTGAAAAATAAGATCCCCAACTGCAAACATCCCTAATCTCACTTCCGACATGTCCGTACCTTCCAGCGCATTGGGGCACCTGGTCTTACCTTTGGTTAGTAGGGAATGGAAGAATGGTAGTAATAGTAGTTATAAGTGTACCCCATTCCTCCATTCCCTGCTAACCCAAGGTACCTTGTAGGATGCTGCAACCTTGCAACCCCCCAAGCCTTAACAACATCCGGAACCCGAGGTCTGGTAATGTACTTAGTTGCTATATTTGGAATCCTCAAAGGGAACTATGGGGCCTATGGACAAAGGGTACGTTCTTTAGGGTTTCAGGTAATGTAGGAACCTTATTAAGAAACCCTGGGCCTATATAGAACCACAAAATAGTAGGATTCATATAAGGAACAAGGAACCCCCAAGAAAGGCCCAAGGTTTCTTAATCAGGTTCCTACACCAACTCTCATAACAACCCTAACCCCCAAAGCCCAAGACCCGAAACCAGGCCCCCACAGACCCTAAACCCCAGACCTTAAAACCCCAAACCCGAAGCCCCTTTATAGAATCCTTATAGATCCCTTTAAGGAACCCCTATATATCTCTTTAAAGGAACCCCTAAAGCCTACCCTAAACCCTAAACCCGAAACCCTAAACCCTAAACCCTAAAACCCTAAACCCTAAACCTACCCTGAAGCCTTCACAAAAAAAAAAAACACATCCCGCCAAGCAAGAGCCTCTGGCGGCCCCACGAAGCGCCGCAGCAGCCTCCAACGGAAAGCCCTGACGGCAGGTGGTTTATTGTAGAAGCCAGAAAGTTGGAACATCATTATCCTCATGCCGTTAAGGTAAAGTATAAGGGATCCTAGCACCAACTTTTGGGCTTCTACTATAGGGTTTGAGTTTAGGGTTTAGGGATTTGGGGCTTAGGGCTTAGGGTTAGGGTTTAGGGTTCAGGGTTAAGGGTTTGGGGTTTAGGGATTTGCTTTGCATGAATGCCGCCGGGTCGAAAGTCTAGGGGGCTCATCTCAATAGGCTAGGACAAGCTTGCTTCAACCTACACTATGCCGCCCTACACCATGAAAGATCAACTCAACTGAGTAGTTCGAGTATTGCTGCACAGTCAACAAAATGCCACCGTGCGATATCTATAATAGCCTCTAAACCCTAAACCCTATAGCACCCTTATAGACCCTTTCAAGGATACCCTTATAAGAAAGGAGCTCCCACAGACTCATCGGCGACACCCCCAGAGCAGGGATTCTCAGCATACACAGACCCACCTCCGGAGACACCTACCTAAAGGCTCCATAGTACGGTTGATGATATAAATCCTGCATTACCCATAATAAGGAATATACGATAATTCCCATAGTTTAGGCCCTTAAGGTAATGCAGGATTTATGTCATCAACAGTAGTTCCTTTTTTGGTTCATATTTAGAATCGGATAAGGGTATCGTGAACAGGAACTACTATGGAGCCTATGGGTATGGCAGCAATCGCTACAACCGCTTGCGCTCTCAGAAGTGCATGTGTATGTATATGTAAATAACTGCAAAGCGAAAACATGATAAACCCTAAACCTGAACCCTAAACCCTACACCCTGAACCCTAAACTCTAAACCCTAAACCCTTTGTTGCAAGCGGCCTCGTTGTCCAGCAGCCCGGTTACAGCAAGAGCCCCCCCCTTTCCCCCAAACCCTAAACCCTGGACCCTGTTTGCTAAACCCTGGACCTGAGATGATGGAGTCCCAGGCCGAGCTCCTCCGAGGCTTCGTCGAGGCCTTCCGAGGAGACCTGGAGCGAGCCGCAATTTTTGTTCAAAAGAAAGGGGGGGGGTAACTGGGGTTCCTTAAAGGGCTCCTTTAAAGGGATCTATAAGGATTCTATAAGAGGGGTTTTAGGGTCTACTTAAAGGACCATGGGACTTAGTAACTGGGGTTAGAAGTAAGGTAACTATATTCATAACCACTTATAAGCCCACTTAAGGTACTTATAACCTGACTTACTAAGTCTCAGGATCCTCCAAGTTGGGTCTTTTCCCTAGAAAAAGGGTTTTAGGATGTAGTGTTTAGAGGGCCAGGGGTTTGGGGGTTGTAGGCTGTAGGGTGAAAGGGTTTCGGGGCTTTAGGAGCCGCTTTTGCTGGGCTTTGGGGGGTTTGAAGATTTTAATTAGGGGACTTACGGGATGTGGGTTTTGGGTTTAGGGGTTTTCGGGCTTAGTTTTTTCTTTTTTTTGGGTGGCTTTCTGTTTTTAAGGGGTCCTTTTAAGAGCTCCTTTGTGGTTCCTTGAGAGTACTACGTCACTGTTGTCTTGTATTACGTTTGTATGTTGTGCGTGTGTTTTCAGTGTTTTGTTTGCAGGGGCAACGGGCATGTCCCATGTTTGGGTTTGGGATTACTTCCAGGGCTCCTTTACAGCTTCCTCTAAGAGCTCCTTGAGAGAGTATCATGTTGCTGTTTTGTGTGTGTGTGTCTGTGTTGTTGAGACCTTTAAAGGGCTTAGACGGTTTTAGCACACTATGCCGAGGTTGCACTGCGCGGCGTGCTCGGCTATGCGCCAAGCGACAAACCCTTCACATAATACCACGAAGTGTAGACCCGATCGATCCATGGCTGGATGGCAGCGCCCAAGGTGAGCGTTCGCCATTCCGACGTCGCCTGGAATGTGCGAGCCACCATGTTCTTCTGTGACATTTCCATTTTCAGCTGGAGGCGGTACTCCAAGCGACTGTTGAAGCCGCCACAGGGACCTGTGTCCTCCCTAGCAATATTGGCGCCCTCGAGGGCGTCGCGCATCCGCGTCCGCGACTTCGCACTACGCATGTGGTCGAAGGCGTCCCAGACGGCGGTGCAGCTCAGCAGCCGGTATGGCACGAAGGGGTCACCAATCCGACTTGGGCCGCAGAGGATGCGCCGCGCCGCCAATGACGACGGTTCGCATCCACCACGCCACGACCCACCGTGGTGGCCGTGGCGTGGACGTGCATGCTTTTCCGAGTAAGGCTAGCAGCACCGCCAAGCCCCCTGCACTCCGCCCGGCGGTTTAAGAGCTTCGGGCTTAGGGCTGAGGCATTAGGCTTCAGGGTTGGGCTTTCCTGTTGGGGTTTTGACGTCTATGCGTTTGCCCTCCTTGTGTGGGTCGAGGATTTCTGGATTCGTTCGATTTTTTTGCGCTGCCGGGGTTTCATCCAAACGTTTTGGCGTTTTCGGCATCGATGTCTATGTTCATGCTAGACGTATGTAGCTACTCCACTTCTAACCATTCTTAACAACGACAACTGTTTTGATTGTTGTTATGGGTGGTTGTCAAAATTACGGTCCCTGTTTGGGTACCATAAATATTAGGTTCCGTATTATAATCAGGACCCGAAAAGGGATCCTAATTTTGACAACCACACTTATGGTTAACCAAACTCCTGCTTAAGGGCTATCGGTGTTTCCTGGGAACCCTGCGACTCCTACTCCGCTACTACAAGTGTCAGGTATTGGAGTTTAGGGTTTAAAATAGAGCTTGTAGTGAGACCCTGTTTGCATCCTAAACTAAGCCCTCAACCCTAGACCCTAAACCCTAAGAGCTTTAAAGTTGTAGGGGAATTGCGAAGTTTAGCATGTCTGGGAAGGCTCGAAGGGAAGCAGCTGTCAGACTTTAGGTGCTTGGGATTTCGGACTTTTGCGTTTTTTGCTCTTAGTTTTGAGGCTGAGGGTTTAGATCACGACTCTGTGCTACCAATACATGCTATCACCTTGCCTGCTTCCTAAAGGTACGAGCATCATTTTCTACAGGTTTGCGCATCCAGGCTCTGAGTGATGGGAGTAGTTTCAATGCATGTATAGTAATCTGCTAAATGGGATGCCGTGTGTGATTTATACAGGGGTTGACAACGTCTGGGTGAATTCGTACAGTCGTCTCTTAAACGGATGTCAACTTCGGATGCTCAAACTCACGGGATTCGTACAGTAGTCTCTGGAGAGGGATGTTCCTTGAGCAAGCTTCTGCCCTCTGAAATCGAACCTAAACCCCAAACTCTACAATCCAAACCCTAAACCCTAAACCATGAACCCCTAGACCCAAAACTCCAAACCCCTAAACCCTAAACCCCTAAAACCCAAACTCCAATACCCTAAACCCTAAACCCCAAACCGAACCCAACAGCGACCTCGGAAACTCGTCCCGAGGATTCCTTGGCACTGCAGGAATTCCAGGGATTTAATGCGCGAAGAATTCCTGATGCCATCGAACCCCACCACAGCCGTTCAGTTTCGAATGCTGTGCTGCCTCCTACATGTACTTCCGTTTATTTCTATGCTGTAAACCACAAACCCTGAACCCTAAATCCCTAGGGCGTATAAAGTTATGTAGTGCATATGGTTGAAAGCTCTGAAGGGTCTCAGAGAAATCAAGGGCCCTCAGGGTTTCTAAAGGGTCGTTGTCTCTGTTAGAAAGATGAAGAGTTTACGATTTAAGGCTTGGTGCTGTGGTCAGGCTTCACGAATCCACCAACTTCTCCAGCATAGCCGACAGGCCTACCTCCTCTATTGTCGGTGGTCTGGCCGCCCCTGCTCGCCCCCCCACCGCACCAACTGTCGCCACTCCCCTCCCTTGCCCGCCCATCCTCTCCCGCGTCCCCGCCACCAGGAAAACCTGGAGCTTTCTGGAATAGCTCCGTCCTTGTATTATACCAAATAATGACAGTAATAATAACATTAATAAAAATCATAATGAACCATTATATTTAGAGTCCAAAAAGGCTCAGCAGAGGAGCCGTGTCCAAAAGCACTTCAGAGCGACGACGGACGCCCCCACAACGTAAAGCCCAAATCTAAGCCAACAGCTCTAGAACTCTCGGATATATATATATATATATATATATATATACATACACATATATACATATATATATATATATATATATATACATACATATACATATACATATACATATACATATACATATACATATACATATATATATATATATATATATGTATATATATATATATATATATGTATATGTATATGTATATATATATATGTATATATATATATACCCTGCAGGTCTTAGTGGGCGTTAAACTGACACCTTTATAAAGTAGGCGTTTAACTATCACGTTGTCCTGAAGGCCTGATCCATGCTCCGAGCAGCAAGGCGTCGCCGACATCGGCTCCGAATTTTTTAGGGAGGGCTTGTGAGTTTAACTGTCTTCATTTGTTCTTTTTGAGATGTTTATCCGATTTCAGCGCTACACCAAAGAGATTGGCTCTCATAACTCTAGGGTGCGACTTTGACTTCAACCCTGAACCCGAAACCTAAACCCAGGCAGCTGATCATCACAACAGGTTAAGCGGAACGACTGCCGTAGACTTTTCGTCTTGTGGCTTTAATGTTGCGCCTCGCGGGTCGAGCTCTGCTGTGCTTCGCTGGACCCTAAGCTTTTTTCGAGCATGATGGGTGCCGGATATTTGGACCGTGTCCTGGAAATTGTTTGCTGCAAGGTCCTCATGCCAGTGCGAGCGCAAAAGGCGTTCGCGGACCGCCTTTGCCCAAGACCGCTCTGCTTCTTGATTGGTCCTTTGTATTCTCGATCAAGTCCCGCTGCCAAGGTCTGGGTTCGATATCGTCATTTTCTTCGGGTGCCCCCCCCTGGCTTCCATTGTGCTGGCCTGCTCTTTGGTTGAAGCCTGTCATGATCACACCATGAGCATCTGTGGGCCTCGCCGCAGTCGGCTCCGAACGAGTTTTGATGTGCACGTAAGGGCCGGTTTTTACGCAGACAGGCTGCAAAAGGTTGACTTGTCGGGCCAGGGCTGTGCTAGTTTGGGGTATGTGTGTGTGTATGCGGTTTCAACTTAGTTATATAATTGGTTAGCATGCCGGATTCGAAGCCCAATCCGGCGCAGGTCAACCTTTTGAAGGACTGGGAATTAATTATGATTGCCTGACTGGGATTGTGCTCTTTACATGCAGCCTGTCTGCAGGAACTCTATCGGGACTTCTGCAAGCCGGGTTATGTGAACGAGCGGTTCGAGACGCTGCGAAAGAGAGCAGGGAAGAACAAGGCGGGATGTTTTTGCGAACTTCGAGGCAGTTGGGTAGTTTCCGCAATTACACTGGATTCTGTCAGGGAGTCTTCTTTTCCTTCCTCGACGTGAAAGACAAAGAGGTTACTGAGGACCAGGAGCGCCCAATTCGTTTCAACTTCTGTGTCTGAACATAGTTGCTTAAACTGGTTTTCCGATGAAGGCCTGCAATGACTCCAATTTTACCTTCCTCCTGCACTACACGACTACGTTTGCGAAGAAGTTGCCGACAAAGAAGGAGGTACAGGCAGGTGGCAATTCATAGTAAGTCCCACACAAGCTCGTAGCACATCGTGGCATGGTGTATCTGAATTGCTGCAGTGGGCACAGGCTGCTTTGGAGTGGGCCGACCGCGAATTTCGACTTCACCCCGATGCGCAGAAGATCGACCGGGAGGCATTTGTTAGCACTGCTAGCATTAAGATAGAACACATGTCGTAGGAACCGTGTGAGAAATAAGAATTATGCTTTCAATTAACATCGCAGGCTTGGCTGGACACGGAAAGTGGGATTCAAAGAGCTTTCGCTTCTTGGGCTTGTGAAAGAGCTGGCCGAACTGGGGGTGTGAGGCGCTCTCCCTTCGTTGTTTTAGGTTCAATTGATCGTGAGCGCATGTTGCCAGGAGCAAAATTAACAAAGAGAAGATGCTCATGCTCAAGCGTGCCATCAGAGAAGCACGTGCAGCCGCAAAGGAGATCAGTCAGTTCATATATTGCATACAACATAGGACCTTGGCGAATGTTAATTTGTTTTGTGTGCTGCAGGAGGAGGAGGATGCTGACACCCAGGCATGGAAGTTGTAACATCGCAAACTTGAATCGCAATTTTCTGCTGGCAGGAGAAAGATTTGGCAGAAGTGCCAGCTGATGTGGATGAGGCTAGTTTTTGATGTTCAATCTATTCTCGGTCTTCTGGCGAAGCGATTGAACCCAGCAGTTGTTGTGCTTTGGACTAGGCCCAGGAAGCCGAAGGAGGAGAAGAAGAGGAACAGGAGGAGGATGAATGTGTGGATGAGGAAGGCCAAGGCATTGAAAGCGAAGAGGATGCCGAGAAAGGTACCTTTCAGGACTGCGGTGCTGCTGCCGTTGTTGTGAAGGTCCAGTGTTTCCCTTCAGGACGAGAAGCCATTGACGGCTCATGTTCCGAAGCTCCCTAAGAAGATCGAAGAAGCAGCTGAAGCGCAGCTGCGAGACTCGACGAAGGACAGTGCGACGCTTGCCATCCAGGCCGTTCCTAGGGGTAGTCCTTTGATGGGTTTGGTGTTGTTCTTGTCGTTGTTGTTGCGGCTTTCAAGACCTTCGTTTCAATGCTCAGGCGCAAAACAAAGTTCGAGCAGCTATGCGACCGAGCAAAGATGATGATGATGATGATGCAGATAACGGGGACGGCCAGGAAGCCGGTAAGCGAGGCCGCGGCAGAGGGAGAGGCAAGGGGAAAGGCAGAGGCCGAGGCAGATCACAAAACGCTTCGGGAGGAGGTGCCATGAAGCGACCTGCAGCATCCACTTCGAGTGCAAGCAAGAAGCAAAAGCTAGCAGAAAAGGAGCAACCAAAGCAGCAGGACGAGGAGGAGGATGAGGAGGGAGGAAATAATGAAGGCACGCATGCAGCAGAACATGAGAAGGATGAAGCGGAGCCACCGAAGCAAGCTAAAGCTAGCAGCATTGATAAAAAGGCAGCAGCAAAGGTAGGGATGTCGGTGGAGGACAGAGCAATTTTGTTACGTGACCGCAAACTTGTTATCATGATGTGAGAAGCCTTTTTGCCTAAGAGTAAAAGGTGGGTGACATCTCTAGCGATGATGCTTGTAGCAACAATGTTTGCCAGGAGTTCATCAACGTGAGAACGAGTTTGGAGAAAATCGCCGAAAGTGATGCTCGCATGGCCCTGCAGCCGGACACATTTACAA